CCATGGAGAGGCTGCCCCAGCAGGGCCTGCCTCACCACACCTTGGTTCCACCTGGAGCACACGGTGGGGAGGCAGCTGCACACTGCATGGCTTTTTTAGCTGAACCATGTGTGGTTCCACCATACTTGGAACTGAGCCAGCTCCAGCCAGAGCACAATGGGGGCAGGGAAGCCACCGGCTGTGTGGTCCCGGCAGAGCCCACCTCCTCCACTCACTTTCCAGGCTGCAGGGCATGGAACTGCAAATGAGAGTTGTGCCCACTAATTCCTGTACCAAGGCTGGCCCAGGGCAGATCCTTTAGAAGGGTATTTAACCTTGGTTCACTAATGCACCACATCCCTTACATTGTTCTAGCAGTTAGTGCCCCGATAGTTAAGTTCAGGCTGGAGATAAGGTATACATTTGCTTTACAGTAGCTTCAACTTCCAGCCACTGGATCCTGTTGTGACTTTGTGTGCTAGATTAAAAAGCTCTTTACTACCTAAAATTTTCTCCTCGTGGAAGTGCTTATAAACCACAGTAGTATTACCTTTTGTTTTTCTGGGTCAACCAGACAAATCTTCTTACTATCTTACCGTCTGAGGCAGGTTTTCCAGACCTCAGATCATTCTTGAAGCTCTTTCCTGACAGCTTTCCAATTTTTCAACATCGTTTTTCAAGAGTGGATCCTGGGCACTGTTTTCAATAATGGTTTCACTAATGCCCTATAATGAGGGCATATCTCCTTCCTGCTCTGAGTCCTCATTCTTCTTAGCCTCTGCATCCATCACACAGGGTCTCAGTTCAGTTGGTTATCCATTTTGATCCCAACTCCTCCTCAGTTCGTTGCTTTCCAGAATACACTTTTCTGTCCCGTACATGTAACCTACATTATGTCTTCCTAGATGCATGAACTTGTATCTTCTGAATTATAGCACATGTACTTTGAATTGAGCCCAACTTATCAAGGAATAGACACTGTGGGGTCTAAGTGGCCTGTGTCTGTCTGTGACTCTTAAGAGATGATCTGTAACATCATACCTCATTTGCTTTCCAGAATACACTTTTCTGTCCCGTACATGTAACCTACATTATGTCTTCCTAGATGCATGAACTTGTATCTTCTGAATTATAGCACATGTACTTTGAATTGAGCCCAACTTATCAAGGAATAGACACTGTGGGGTCTAAGTGGCCTGTGTCTGTCTGTGACTCTTAAGAGATGATCTGTAACATCATACCTCATTCCCCCCCCCCCCCCCAAAAAAAAACACAGAACAAAAATATGTCTTGAGCACTTGCGTTTTCTAATTGACAATTTTACTATTTCTAGCCACAGATAAATTCCTTCTTACTGTCTTTAACCCTTCTACCCAAAAATTTTTCCTTGGCACTTTTGACTTCCTTTATCAAATTCTATATTATAGTTACTGCTATCAGCTTCCTCATTTGCTAAATATGTATTTTTATTTTGTATTGTTGCTTTTACTCTTTCTCTTAGTTAGAATGGCTTTTTTAATTGAAGAAGATTTCTTCAGTGATTATAAAACTGTAGGTGTTTTGGGGATTTAGCAAAATACTGTATTCTGAAACAATTGCCAATTGTCATTTACATTTTTCTATTTATAAGTTTCTTCCCAATCAATTTATCTTTTCTCTTTTTTTTCTTTTCCAGTTTGGAAAACTAGTTCTCTTTAAGTGGTACATGTGTATGAAGGTTTTGCTTGGTTGTGTCATTTGTGGTTAGTTGTTTTTTTTACTGGCTAGACCTGTGTTCTGTCTGCACAGAAAATGTTTGGCCCAGTTAAGTTTATCCGCCCCTACTACATCTTGAAGCCACCTTGAATATTTTAAATAGAAAAGCGGGGTAAAAATATTTAAATAAATAAAATAAATAAATCAATGTTGTAGCACATGTCATTTCCAGGGTGTCTCCCACATAGGGAGAAGGCTAAATGGGATCTGCTTAGCTTAGGAGACTTGACAACCATCTTAGCCAGAGGGGATATGGTTTAGATGTTAATTATTAGGAACATTATTTCTCTGCTATTCCAATTGCCTCAGACCCTCAAGCAGCTACACTGTGGTTTCTACTGCAGAATTCCATGAACAGGCTTGCGGTGCAGGCCTTGGAAAAGATGGAAACCAGGAAGTTCAAGTTGAAAAATAAGGGTCACCGTGAAGGAAGCTGTGGAGCTCTGGACACACTCAGCAGCAGTTCAACCTCTGACTGTGCCATTTGCCTGGAGAAGTACATGGATGGGGAGGTAAAAGGAAACAGTTTGACTAATCTATCTGGCCAGTTTTGGCACAGTTGTCACCAGATGACTTTGGGAACTTCCTGTATTTACTCTGGTTCTATTTGGCTATGTCGTCATAATCTCACATTCTTATTTCATCCTTGGAACCTCGTACCCAAATCAGAAGCATTTTAAGGAGTGAAATAACTGGATACTTAGCCTAAAATGTTGTCTTGCACTTCATCCCAAAAAAAGGGGTTATGCAAAAGTCAGATGAATCAGGCTAAACTAGACCTACATTTAGATGGATTATCCCTTTGCTTTTATTTATATATGTATAATTAGCAAATATGTGCTACATGTGTATGTACAATCCAGTAAATACGTTTTGACCCCTACCACTTTATGTGGGGAAGGTTCACTGAATCATTTCTCACCTTATGGTGAAAATACTCTGGAAGAAACTTAAAGCTGCAGAAAGTGACATCTGATCCCTCAGCCTCCATCTGTGTTAGTGCCACAGTGACTTTGCTATGACTTTGATCAGAAGAAGTAAGGAAGGGAATAAATACAAGAGGCTGTCTAAAATCTTAGGGAAGATGCTGAATATAAAAGGGAGATGATCCCCTTTTTAAGAAAAGTCTCCTCTGAAATAGAAATATACTCTGTCACACATCAAACAATAAAATACCTGGAGCAGGGATTCTGTGTTGCAACTGCACAAAAGTCAAGAATGCCCTGACTGTGGCCATTGGGAACACTGCCAGGCAAAGTACAAAACTGGCTAGAACTCTTGGGTCCTGCTGGAGCCTCAAAGGCAGGCTAGAGGCTTCTGAGAGAGGAGCTGCTTGAGACGACAGGATGTGACTCACACATCAAACAATAAAATACCTGGAGCAGGGATTCTGTGTTGCAACTGCACAAAAGTCAAGAATGCCCTGACTGTGGCCATTGGGAACACTGCCAGGCAAAGTACAAAACTGGCTAGAACTCTTGGGTCCTGCTGGAGCCTCAAAGGCAGGCTAGAGGCTTCTGAGAGAGGAGCTGCTTGAGACGACAGGATGTGACGGGGAAATGAGCCCAGTGTGGTTGCAGAGCATGGAGACACTAGCCCTGTATCTTTAGCTATGTGTGAACAGAGGCTTTTCCTCTGCTCTTCCAGCAAGGGGCTAGGAACTGACCTGATCTGTAGCTGAGCCAGAAGAATTAGGTTTGGGCTACAAGGTCTCATGCCTTCTAGGGAGAGTCTGTCAGCTTCCTTCTTTCTCTCCAACAGGAGCTGCGGGTGATTCCCTGCACTCATCGATTCCACAAGAAATGTGTGGATCCCTGGCTGCTGCAGCATCATACCTGCCCCCACTGCCGCCATAACATTATCGGTAAGTTGTGCCCCTGGAATGCACACACTCCTCTGTCCCCCCTCCCCCATAGGGCTGTTCCTAGATTTCTCTGCTGTCTGGATGGAGGGAAATGGTGTGTGTTTCTATATAGTCCTAGGGAAACCCCTTTGAGTGTCAGTTTGTATAGTAACACCATCCTGGGACTGCTTGCAAGGGTGACAGCAGGTAATAGAGGTTAGAGATGTCAACATCTGGACAACTGCACAATTAACCAATAAGCCTGGGCCAATTGGTTAATCTTGTTGACTACACACATCCCCACTCCCGCTTGTTGCTGCTGCTGCGTTAGAGGCAGTGAGGATAGGAGGCGGGAGCTTGTCCTTCCCACCTCACTCCTGCACTGCTGCCTCTGATAGAGAGTAAGCAGTGCAGAGGGTGAGGGGGTCGTGAGGTGCAAATACATGCAGGAAGCCGTCTTTCAAGCCATCTGCCTGTGCACATCGACTCATGCAAGCTGCTTCCCCCCCCACACACACACACTTGCTGCCTCCTATGAGATGAGGGGGGACAGGCAGTACCTGGTGCTGGGGGAGCTGGGTTAAAAGCCAGTTATCCCAGTACCAGTCCTGCAGCACTACCTGCTTTGTGCCCCCCTCCACTGCACGCTGCTGCCCTTATCAGGGGTGGGTGGGGCAAGGGAGGGAAGCCACCTCTGTTCTGAGGGAGAGACAGAGCTCCTTGCAGACAGAGGCTGCTCTG